ATCATGAGAATGGTTGCACAATTTGAAGAATGTAATCAATGTCACTGAATTGTACATGTAGAAATTGTGGAATTGATGTATATTTTGCTATGTATATTTTCACCAATAAATAAATAAAATAATTTAAAAAAAAACTTTAAATCTCTGGTCAATTTTAGCCATTTGTTCATATTTAAGGATGAATAATCAAAAAATGATTGGAATTCATGAATTTGTTTATGTATATATATTTTTATCACATGACAAATTTCTGGAAGAATAATTACTGAGTCAGAGATAATATATTTAAATGTTTTGTCATGCATTTAAAAATTTCCCTGCTATATGGTTATTCCAACTTGTAACAACAGAATGGAATGGTGATTTCTTCCCTCATACCTTCTGTCTTAGTCATCTAGAGCTGCTATAACAAAAATACCACACGTGGATGGCTGTAACAAAGAGAAATTTGTTCTCTCACAGTTTAGGAGGCTGGTAGTCCAAATTCAGGGGGCCAGCTCTAGGGGAAGGCTTTCTCTTTCTGCTGGGGGAATGTCCTTTCTATTTCTGGGGGAATGTCCTTGCCATCAATCTTTCCCTGATATAGTGGCTTCTCAGTGCAGGAACCTTGGGTTTAAAGGACAGGCTGTGCTCCTGGCACTGCTTTCTTGGTGATATGGGGTCCCCCTGCCTCTCTGCTCGCTTCTCTCTTTTATATCTCAAAAGAGATTGATTTAAGATACAACCTAATCTTGTAGATGGAGTCCTGCCTCATTAACCTGTTGTTGTTGTGTGCCGTCAAGTGATTCCAAATCATAGTGACCCTATAGGACAGAGTTGAACTGTCCCATAGAGTTTCCAAGGAGCGGCTGGTGCATTTGAACTGCTGACCTTTTGGTTAGCACCCTGAACTGTATAACCACTTCACCACCACGGCTCCACTTCATTAACCATTAATCCCACATGATTAACTTCATAGAGGTAGGATTTTTAACACATAGGAAAATCAAATCGTTTGATTTCTTGACTGCTGCTTCCATGGGTGTTGATTGTGGATCCAAGTAAAGTGAAATCCTTGACAACTTCAGTCTTTTCTCTGTTTATCATGATGTTGCTTATTGGTCCGGTGGTGAAGATTTT